CAATCTGGATAGGGTATCAGCCAGAAAATTCTTCCCACTTGGTATGTGTTTTAGGGTGAAATTAAAACAATTAAAATATTGTGCCCAACGTACTTGTTTGGGAGATAGTTTACGGGGAGTTTCCAATGCCTCTAAGTTTTTGTGATCAGTCCATACTTCAAAAGGCACCTTGCTCCCCTCTAGGTAATGACGCCACATCAACAAAGCTCATCAAATTGCAAAGACTTCTTTCTCCCAAACAACCCATCTTCGTTCAGTGTCAGTGAACTTTTTTGAAGTGTAAGCACAGGGTTGTAAAATCCTGTCACGATTTCTCTGCAAAAGTACTGCTCCTACAGCCACATTGCTGGCCTCGGCTTGAATAACAAATGGTTCCTCTGGGTAGGGGTGCTTTAAGACTTGGTTCAGCAGCAAATAGTATCTTTAAATTCTCAAAAGCGGTTTGGCGTTCCATAGTCCATTGTAGTGACTGACCAAGTCATGGTTTTTCCCCCATCTTTGCCAGTTTTTAACAGCTCTGTCAGGGGTAAAGCAATCTCAGCAAATAATGGGATGAATTGATGGTAGAAATTGGCAAACCCCAGCAAGCTTTGTAGCTGTTTTCCAGTTTTGGGAGGCTGCGATTAAATTACAGCTTTCACTTTGGCTGGAGCCATCTCAATGCCCTCATTGGAAATCCTATAGTCCAAATAATCCAAACGTGTCTGATGAAATTCGCACTTTGACAGTTTGATGTAGAGTTTAGCGCTTAGCAGTTTTTTCAACACCTCTCGCACTAAACATACATGGTCTGCCATAGTCTCAGTATAGATTAAGATGTCATCAAGATACACCAAAACACTTTTGTACAAATGATCATTGTAGCACCTGGTTAATCAGCTGCATGAACACAGCAGGAGCCCCTGGTAATCCAAATGGCATAACTTTGAACTTATAGCTGCCCAAAGGGCTGTTAAAAGCAGTTTTCCATTCATCGCCTTCTCTTATTCTCACGTGGTAATACACCTCTCTCAGATCTAATTTGGTAAAAATTCACCCCATCGCCAGATGGGTTAACAAATCCTTCAGTAGAGGGAGGGGGTACATGTTTTCCACACACACACAGTTGAGCCCCTTATAATCAATGCAGAGGTGGAGCAACCCATATTTCTTTTCTTTGAATAGTACTGGGGCTGCTACTTGGGATTTTGCCGGCTCAATGAATCCTCTGGCCAAATTCTTGTCAATGTATCGCCGCAAACTCCTCCACCTCGAAGGGGGTCATAACATACATTTTCGGCTTTGGTAACTTGGCTCCCAGTAAAATCTCAATGGCACAGTCATTTGGTCTGTGGGGTGGACATTGCATTCCTTTTCACTAAACACTTCTGCCAAGTCTCAATATTCACTGGGGATGAGTAGCTCTCTAGGCAGGGGGATGGTGGCTATTTTTATTGTGTTGGCTGACAGCTCCGTCTCGCCATTAATGTCAAAGGAGGCACTGGGAGGGGATGGCACTATGGGCAATCTTAGGGTTCTCATCCCCTTTTCCCACCAGATAAAGGGTTTCCACTTGTCCAACCAAGCTAAGCCTAAAATCACTGCTTCAGATGAGCTCCCAATGTTCACCTATTTCTAGCCGCACTGGCTCAGTTAGGTGAGGACTAGGGTCCTCCCATTAAAGACCCATCTGCTTATTCAAACTTCATGGGTTTAGAGAGTAACCTCACCCGAATACCCAATTTGAGAGCAATTGGCAGGCTGATAATGTATCGTGAGTACCCCGAGTCTACCAGTACCCATAAGTCCATTTGAGTTCCTGTCTTAGGAACTATAAGTTTGGTAGAAAGGGAAAAAGGTGGAATAGGTCGACTCACCATCGGGTCATTCTCTCCCTCATCATCGCTGTCATAGGGAGCTAATGCGGTGCCTGAATCAGCTGGGGTTTCAACTCTCTCTTGAGTGGGCGAGCGACTTGGGCAACTGGTTCCTGCAATGATCCATTTTGACTTCTCCCTGGCAGATGGCTGGGTTACTTTTGTTTTCCCTGATGGGGCTGAGCCGCCTCTCTGCAAGCCGCTGCCCAGTGACCCAGCTGGCCACATCTAAAATATTTGATCAGTGGGGCTGAAGACGGCCTAGGAGGTTCTACCACATCTGCCACTGGGGTCGTCGAGGTGGTGGTCATCTCACCAGTTCTGGCCTCGGTCCCGGTGCAGGAGTTGTTGGCTTCTTATAGCGGGTCAGATCGATGTTCATCTTTACTGCCATCCGGTACCACTCTTGCAGTTGGTCAGGAATTCCACAATAGATACAGGCTTGGAACAGATGGGGGTCCAGGCCATTTTTGAAATGGTGCACCAGGGATTGTTCTGGCCACCACTCAATACGATCTGTGACTCTCCAGAATTCACGCACATATTCCTCCACTGGTCTACCTGCCTGTTTCACTTCATGAATGTCTACCTGCAGAGCTATGGATTCATCCTCGAACCTGGCTCTTAGCCCTTGGATGAACAGGTTGTAATCCCATAGCTCTGGTGCCTGTTTGTTGTGCAAGCTATTCAGCCACTCTGATGCCCCCCCTCCAGGTTTGCCACTATTACATTGACCATCGTGGCAGAGTCCGGCATTTTGGTTCATATAGGAACACACTTGGTTCAAAAAGAAAGTTAGCTTCTCAGAGTCTCCGTCAAAAGTGGGTTTAAAGGGTGGGGGTGTAACAGTTGCTGCCTGTCTAGCAAGGTGTGCAGCCATCCATACTGTTGCATCAGGCCATATTGAATGCCTCTGCCTGATCAAACCTTGGCATGGGCCCTGGGCTGGTGTAGCATTGGTGACAGTATTCAGGGCTGTGTTGCCGATGGCGAGGCTCAGGGCTTTGATGGTGATAGCGATGGTACGAGCTGTCCTGGGCCAACGGTGATAGTCTGGGCTACAGTGGCGTGGGTACTGGTCAGGGCTCGCATTTGGGCGCTGCCGCTCGGGGCTAACATACCGCTCTCGACACTTTGGGCTGTCATGTTGCCGATGGTGGTCAGGGCTCAGCGACTGCCGACAATGGTTGGGGCTGACATGCTGCTACCTACGATCTGGGCTTCTCCTCCGCACTGGACTTGAGGTTAAAGCTGGTGGCTTCGGTCACGGGGAAGTGGCCCCGACCCCACCAATGGGACTGGGGCTTCTCCTGGACTGGGAATGGTTTCAGAGGCACCTGTCATCTCGCTCGCTGGTCAACAATGGGCGGGTGACTGGCTCCTTGCTTCCCACGTCTAGGCCTTCGAATTTCTCCCTCAAACGTTGGACTGACTGGCTTTGGATTGCTGTCAGATACTTCCACTCACCCAACTCATCCAATGGCACCACCTGCTTAGCTGCTCTATGATCAGGAGAGCATGACTCCTGGGAGGCAATCAATGGAAATTCAACTTCAGCGGCCTTTGAAGAACTTTTCTTCAGCTGGGCTGTCTCTGAACGCCATGAGTCTCCACTAGGCAAGGTCCATTCCAATGACAAGATGTGCTCTTGGGTCTTTCGCCTCGCCCTTGCTGCTGGAGTCTCAGAAACCACACTCTCTATCAGTGTGATGGCTTGCGCTCCATCTCCCAATATAGTAGCTGTGGTTGTAGTGCTGGTGACAGGTTCCTCTTTCTTCTCCATTTTGGGATCTTCCCTGACTCGTTGTCAACCTCCTCTCTGCTTTGGGTAGGTGACTGGAGCTCAGGAACCCGTAAAATTAAAGAAAAAGTGACTCTTGGGTTACTGTCATGGTTCCGATAGATCAGGGGTGTCAAACTCAATTTCACTGAGGGCCACATCAGCATTGCAGTTGCCCTTGGGGGGCCGGGTGGGTGTGGCCAGGGTGGGTGCAGCCTACTGGGTGGGCGTGGAGGGAGTGGGTGTGGCTTACTGGCTGGGCATGGCCAGCTCTACATTGTTTGCGTCAATGGTGCCTATGCAGGAGTGGGACACATCTGAGGAGTGGGACACAACTGAGGGTTTCTGGCAGAAGGGGGTGGGACCAGGGCAAGTGCCAAGGCATGTTCCACTGGAGGAGCCTCACTGTTCCTCTCAGGCCATGGAGGGGGCTAAATGGTGGTGTGGGTTGCCCGGAGCCCTGGGCAGCAGAGGTCAAATGCCCAGCCTGGCCCTTGAGCACCCATGGCACCAAGCTCAGCCCTACTTCCCCAAGGGGGTGCCCAGCTGCACTTATCTCCTCCTCAAGGCTGCTGCTGCTGTGCTTGCTTTTCTTAGCCAGATTGTTCATGATGGGTACCAGGGCAAAGTCAGAGGGAGACTGAATGCGTTTCAGCATAGATGGCCACCACAAAATTGTACATTGGCTCCCGGCTGGCCGGCCTGGGCCAGAGCCAAGGCAGTGCAGGCCATTCCCTCATTGTTTCCAGGATGGCTTCGCGGGCCACATGAAATCACTTCGCAGGCCGCATCCGGCCTCCAGGCCTTGTGTTTGACATGTCTGCAATAGATGAAACCAATTAAAAGAACTTCAAGGCAAAGATTTCATCGTTAAAGAACATTTTATTCAGGAAACAAAGTATCAGCACTTACATAGTTGAACCCAAGACTGAAGTTCCTTCCCCCCAGATACAAAGTAACAAGTTTTAATTCCCACTCCAGAAAGGCTGTCATAAATCACATTCACCAATTATTCCAAAACGCTGGCTCTCCTCCCAAATTCTCAACCCACCAAAACTTTATCTAACATTGACCTTGAATTCACACACAGCTGCAATTGTTATGGCTAACTGAAAATACTCGAGCATTCCCATCCCCCCTTCTAAATCTGAAATCTCAAACAGCAGAAAAAGCACAATGAAAGCAAAAGGTAAAATGGTTGAAATTTCCTAATTGTCACAGCGTTGATACAAATATTTAAAAATGTCATATTCCATTTTTTCATTTTTAAAAAATCTTCAAAACGGAAATAAAATTGTTATATTAAATATATTAGATATCATTTGGAGAAGGAAAAACATAAATTATGTCTTTTGAAAACTCACTGTTATTCCTGATATTTCAGCTTATTCTTCCAATTCCATCCTAATGTATTTTGCTGAATAATTAGAACTTGAGAAAAGGTTAATAGCATATATTCTGCAAATAAAGTAAATAGAGTTTATCTCTTTATTCTTTTAATTTCTGAATGAATACAATATGAAGTGCTGCTACTAAGATTTCTAAATAAATGCTTCAAACTGAAATGGCAGACAACATTAAAGGTATGGCAAAGTGCAAAGGAAAGGAAAATGACGAAGGAAAATGATTTTTTTATTTTAATAAAATATTAAGAATTCATAGAAATATTATTTTAAAAAATCAAGCAGGATGGGAAATTCTGTTTTAAAAATTACATTATCAAATATCACATTTGAGACATATTCTTTCATTTATATGGGAAGATTCAATATCCAAGACTATGGATATAAAAAGAAATTTTACTATAGATCTATAGTTAGATCTATACGCCAAATGCTTTTACTTCCCAAGGATTTTATAAAAACAGATAATATAAATAATTGATGACATCAGCATATTGCAGGCCCAATTGGCAAAAGAAAAAAAAACTGTACGTATGTCCTTCATAGATTAAGAGCTATTTTACAATAATTTGCTATAGTATTGCAAACATTTGTTGCCAAAATAAATTGTCTATTGTCTAAATCCACATTTCAGTTTCTATACAAGAATTCCATGGAAGACAGTACATTATTGCCACTGGCACTGATAATGTTACCTAATTTGGGTAATGAAACGTCTGAAAGAAAATAAGCAAGCTCAGAGAGCACCAAGGACCCCTCATTTCAACTCTGAGCTATAAATATTCTCCTTTATCAGGGGAATGTGTTGCAGAATTGAGATTCTTGTATACTTTCAAAGGAGTTAGTGCAAAATTATTTACAATAGGATAGCTTATTATATTCTTACTTTTGGCAGTTAGGAACTACTGGAAGTAGGAACTTCCTAATTAATTTAACAATTGAAAAATGGTGTACTAAAGTATGGTCTTCTTGAAAAACATTATGGATAAGGAAGGATTATCTGTAAAGCTTATATATACATTAATTAATAAGAATAATAGCAACAATAATTATGAATCTTGTAAATTATGAAAGCTATTAATTTTAATTTATGTTGTTAATTTAAATAAATACTTTTTAAAAGATTTGTCATTTTAAAAAGTTTCTTCCTAATTATCAATTTCTCTTTAAAGCACCTCCTGTAAAAATATAATCTTGTCCATTTACTTAGTGTTGGTTATATCCTCTTCATCCATTAAATCAGTGCTTCTCAATTATTTTCTGTCATGCCCCCCTAGGAAGAAGAAAACATTTCGCGCCCCCCGCGCGACTGTAAAAATTTTTTTTCTGTACAGAGGACCGATTTCCGGGTCTAAAAGTCACAGGGGCGGGTTTGGCCAATCAGGATAGAGCATCATGTCTATCCAATCGGGTCCTTTGCATGTGTCACGTGCGTTGGCAGTCATGTTGTCCTCCGCGTCGGGCTGCCGCTTGCGAGTGAGTCAGATGATCCGATCTAGAAATCCAATATGACAGTATTTGCCGAGGTCAAACGAGCCCCCCTTTATGGAGCCTCGCGCCCCCCCGGGGGGGCGCGCCCCACAATTTGAGAAGCACTGCATTAAATAATCTGTTTCATGGTACAATATAGAGAGTGAACCATTGGTGTTCTATTCTTCATCTCTATTCTGTTGCTGCCATGTATCTAAAAAGGTTAACTCAGGAATATCCAAAAGCCACTCTTTTGTCCATACTAATTTCCTACATATTGTTTGCTCTGGAAAGTTCTGTGTCATTTGATATTATGATAATTATGAAAATGCCTTTATCTGCCTGCTTTATCCTGTTTTTTTGCCAGCTAATTGCTGTTTACTTTGCGCTGATCTTTAATAAATAAACTGGGTTTTTTTACTAGCTGAATTAAGTGGCAGGTTTGTTTCCTTTGATCTGTAGATGGGACTGTATCAAGTGCCAAAGAAACAGGACTTGATTCCCAGTAAGTTTCCAACACTATGGACCAGGAAAGTAGCAGGAAAGTAATAATCAAGGTAAGGAAGAAGGCCATCCCTGTAATCCTAAATGTGGGCATCAGAACACCATCAAAAACCATGAGTTTGGAGATGGCAGCAGTGGAATGAATGGATGAGGGAGAGGGCATCTTCCAACATGGAAGGACCACTCAAGAAGCCTTCCAAGACCAATGTAATCTGATGCAGGATACCTCATGATACTGGCAAAGAATTATTTTTTTTCAAATGTCTAGTCTTAGAATGTAAAATTTACAAATGACAAGAGTGAATTGCTAAATCTATATTATGCAGACATGTCTTAGAAGAAGGATTACTTGATTATTATTAGTTTTGTTTCTTTTTCTGGGACTTTAATGAGCTGCTTGACCGTTTAGGCCTAAAATTCACAACTTGCCTGAATAGAGGAAACAACACTGCAGAGGTAAGCCACAGATGAGAGGCTGCAATTATAGGTTATTAGCTAGTTGTTATTGTTACTGTTATTGGCTTGGTTTCTATTTCCATCCCTTTGGTATCTCCAGGTGAAACCAGGAAAGTTTCTGGTCTGAAAACCTGAAGATCCACTGCCAGTTTTTTCAAGTAGGTAATACTAATCTAGATAGATCAATGGTCTGACTTAATCTAAGGCAACTTTCTATCAGTGAAGACCAAACCAAGTGTCTTCCAAGCAGTTTGGTTTAATTTCATTTGCATTGTCAAAAATTCAGCTCCAAAGATGACCCAGCTTCTTTCTAGGATCTTGATTCTCCTTCCATACCTAAGAAAGAAACCATTAGTTTGCCAGGTATCCAGGTAGATGTATGGATGGGAGGGGGTCTGTTTGCTTCTCTACTGGAGGTGGGCAGTTTACAAACCAAATGAGCAATGCCTTGCTGTAGTCCACTGTTATAGTCTCCAGAAGTAGCTACACAAAATTCAGAAGCAAAATGAAGACATTTGGCAATGTTACCATTCCTTTCAACTGCTAGCCTGAATATTACTATTTACTTTTATCCCGCCCTTCCCAAATCCCAAAATGTCTTGCTTCCTCTACTAACAGTGTCACATCTTCTCTGCCTTTTGACCCAGAAAGAGTGAAAAAGGATGACTCTATTCTAAAAGAAAATTTCCTGAGGAAACACAATCTATGCTGGGAAATTTCAGGGTAGCCGTGCTCCTGAATGCGAGGAGCAAGAGAAAAAAAGGGGGCTCACCTTTGCCCTTCTAGGAACTGTGCTCTGAGCTGCTGCGTCAGTGCTGATGAAGGGCAGAGTCAGAGACATTGGAATCAACCAAATTAGTTTTTCGGTGTTGTCGGCTCCCTCGATCTGTAAAAAAGTAACCATTCATTCATTCATTCAATTCATTCATTCATTCATGAGGAGGCAGACATATTAGGAAACACAGTCTCCCATTTTGTCCCAATGTGCTCTGCTGAGACCAAACAAGTCTTGCCACTGATATGTGATTCTGCCATGGGCTGTCAGAATAATCTTGGGAGACAAGAGAAAAAGTCACAGCCTAGATTACGGTCTGATAAATGAAGTCTCAGAAGGGATCCCCTCTAATTCTCTGGAAAGTAAAGGCAGGGGAAAGGGGAGAACATTCAGACTTACAAAACTCTGTTGCTGTAACCTTACAATATTATTAAAATACTATGAGTATTAGTACTCATAGTTTTGTTTCCTGCCTGGACTACTTTGAAGGACTGATTCACCCTAGAGGAATATTTAAGAGAAATAATGTATATTAGTTTTTCCCTGGTAGTTACCCTCACGCAGCCCAACCTTGCACTCCAAATAACTTCAGAAGTAATAAAATTAGGCTACCTATAATTTCCAGATATTTGGGGCTTTGACTCTTGTAGTTAAACAACGCCTCGGACTAAAGGTTTGGGAAAACACACTGAAGATTATTCTGAACCCTGAAGGGTGGTGCCTCTTTGAAGCAGGCCTGGTCTGGGTTTTCCGTGTGTGCCTATGGTCAATTTCTGTATGCTTCTATTCAGAGGTGGAGCAACTAGGCCACAGGTCGGCAACCTGCGGCTCCGGAGCCGCATGTGGCTCTTTGAGCCTTCCCCTGTGGCTCCCAGCCTCTTCTGCCATTTGCAGAGAGAGACAGAGACAGAGAGAGGCACTTGCGCTTCCCTGCTTCTCTGTCTCTCTCTGTGTTTGTGCTTATGTCTCTCTCTCTCTCTCTCTCTCTCTCTCTCTCTCTCTCTCTCTCTCTCTCTCTGTGTGTGTGTAAAAGAGAGTGGACTCACTGTGTTCTCAGACAAGCTGAAAATCTTTTGGGCGTGGCTCCTCCCTTTGCTGCGTCTCTACAGGAAGCAGGAAGCAGGAAGAGCAGGAGAGAGCTAGCTAGCCCAGCTATGCTGACTCAGGACTTCTGGGAATTGAAGTCTATAAAAGACTGAGGTTGCCTATCTCTGAGCTTGTTGGAGAACAGCTTGAAGCCAGCTTGCCAGGTGAGCAGAAGATCGGAGAGGGGGGGAGAAAGAGAGAGAAAGAAAGAGAGAGGGAAGGAGAGAGAGAGAGAAAGAGAGAGAGAGAGAGTGGGGAAAGGAGACTGGCAGACCAAGGCAGAAAGAGAGGAAGAGAGAGGGAGGGAGAGAGAGACACAGAGAGAGACCCTTTTGATATCTAAAATGAAGATAACACTGCATATATCCTTTTTTACCTTTATGAGATATATATATGTTTGTATATGTGTGTGTGTGTATATATATATATATATATATATGTATGTATGTATGTATGTATGTGTATGTATGTATGTGTGTGTACACACACACACACACACACACACACACACACACACACACACACACACATATATATATATATATATATATATATATATATATATATATATATATGGTACGAATAAAATACGAACACCAGGAGAATATAAATATAAAAACCCATTTAAGTCATCATTGTTTACTGGCTCCTTAGCCCTGATGATGTTTGGAGTTTCCAAACGAAAGCTTGGCAGCTTTTAGTAAAGTATATTTTTATATTTATATTCTCCTGGTGTTTGTATTTTATTCGTACCATAGACATGCCCATGAGTCATATTTTTATGCAAATTTTCCAATATATATGTATGTATATACTGTATATATATAAAAGGTAAAAAAGGATATATGCAGTGTTATCTTCCTTTTAGATATCAAAAGGGTTTTGCGGCTCCCCGTATTTTGTTTTTGGTAGAAAACGGGTCCAAGTGGCTCTTTGAGTGTTTTGGATTGCCTACCCCTGAACTAGGCCTACTCACCTTTCATTTTCAAAGAATTCCTCTTCTCACTCCATGTGCTGTTATTCATAATGGAGTTGCGTAAAGTGTTGACAGCTGACCTGTATAAGGAGAAAGTTATGATTCCCTTTGTGGATTACCTGCCACTGAAATAAACAGACAGGAAAAATATCTCCTTATATGCTTTGATAATATTAAATGTTAATTATGCAGGATGAATGTATAGCTCTGAAATCCTCCCCCTGGTGATCTTTTAGACCTGGGGCAGTTTCTCATTTTACAATTTCATCCTCGGAGAACAAGTACTTTGTAACATAGTGGCAATTATACAGATTTCTTTTTTCTTTATTTATAATGGATTCAAACATGCTGTCCTTTTATTTCCAGACATAATAGATTGGTGTGGAATACAAGCATTTTCTTAGACTCAAATACTATATCTTCTTATAGGAAAGATGTGGAGCAGCTTTATAAGGTTGACCTTCCTGGGGCAGAAAATTCAAGCTCCAGAAATTCCTATTCCAACATCCCACTGAAGGGAAAGATGTCAAATTCAAGCAATTCCTTCCACAGCTGGAGACAGGAAGAGAGTCAACAAGAACTCCCAAGGAGCTGTTCTTACCAGATTTCATTCAGCTCTTCAGTCTCTGGTTTATGATCTTTCTCTGCTAGGCCATCATCTGGGGTTTTGCCCCTCAGTTGGGTCAGGAACTAGAGAAAGATAAAATATCAAATATATACATTGGGATGCAAAACAGGCTATGGTGGATATCTCTTCTACAAACCTCTGGATGAATTGTTGAAACAGTATTGATATCAGCCCAAATCCAAGGCTTAGATACACAAACTACACAACACCATGCAACAGGAGACAGGGAGTTGTGTAATCAGACCTCCAATGTTATAGGCTAACATAAGCTCACTAAAAATGCTGTTCTGTTCTTCTACTCAATTCCCATTAAGCAGGTCTCTTTGCCCAAATCCAACCTCCATTAAAGTGTTGCCACTGTTTTGCTTTCCAAAAAGATTTGCTACTATAGCTAGATGGAGGGGACAACTCACTCCAGGACAACTCGCTATGGGACAAGAGTTACAGTAATATCAACGAAATAGTGGAATGGAATCATTAAAGAAAGGATGCCAAAGGAAGAAACAAAATAAAATGTGAATGACAAAAAATAAAATATTTTTTAAATTAGTTGAAATAATTAAACTGAATTGTGAATTGTCCTACAGCGAGTTGTCCCAGGGCAAGTTATCCTGTGGCGAGTTGGCAAATTGGCCATGGTGAGTTGACTGTGGCGAGTTGGCTATGGCAAGTTGTCCCATTCCGTTGAAATGAAGCACAGACAGTGGCATGTCATGCTTTAATTTAATTTAATTTAATTACAATTATAATTAAATATAGCAATTTAATTGAATTACATTAGCTGAAGATCATATAATTAATATTTAATTCTGCCCATCTTAAGAGCATTAGAAAATTACTGAAATAGTGGTGGATACTACGGTACCTACATCAGAAACTATTTTCCACTGTGGCTAGCAACATGTTCCTAAGAAATCCACTTGTAGGGTATCAAAAAAAATATAGTTCTCAATTTCCTCCACCAATTTAAAGCCCACATGGCCAGGCTATCTGGGGGACTGCCTCTACCTAAGTATTTCTATCTATCGTGTCAAATCAGATAAGGCACAGTTCTATTCCCTTCCCCTAAACATTGTCATGTAATGGGATCTAGGAAGAATGCCTTTTCCTTGTCAAACCCTGTCCTCTGAAACATCCTTCCCCTTGAAGGATGGCAGGCCTTCACCTCCAAGCTTTTTGAAAAGCAGTGAAGGTCTGGCTTTTGACCAAGCACTGGTACACATTTCAATGAGAGGATTTAGTGAGGATCTTGGAAATTTAAATTTAGCATCAAGTTCTTAACATTTATGGTTTTAATAGATATAATATTATATTGCTTTATTGTTGTTATTATTATTGTTATTGTTGTTGATATTGTTTTAATTTGTCAGATCTACCATCTTCAGCTTCTATGCTTTGCTGGCATCATGTCAAAAATTGTTAGGGGGGAGGAGGGGATAATGGAATGTATAGGATAGAGATGAGAGGGAAAGGGGCTTGACGGAAACCAGAGGTGAGAACCGGCATATTCCAGTGTTCAAGGACACCTAGCCTGGGAAAAGAAAGTAACACCATACCCAATGGCACCCATCGTCCAGGCTATTCCCCAAACACCTAAACAGTATGCTATTGGACAGAGATGGATTGGCCAAGGGGGGAGGGCCAGGGAGAAAGGAAAAATGTAACGTTTTGCACAGGAACCTCAGATCTAGGCTTTCTTTCTATGCAAACACCTAACCTTAATAAAATAACCTATCGCTTCAACCTGGGCTGGGGCTGGTCTGACATAATTGTTGGTTGGGAGCTGCCTGGAGTTTGATATGGATGGCTATATAAATGCTTTAAATAAACATTTTTTTAAAAAAAATATTTATTGTGCCTGAGTCTGCTATTGACTCTCAACAACTGCTTAGACTAGTCCCTGCAGTTTTCTTGGCAAGATTTCAAAAACATTTTGCCATTGCTTGCTTTCTGGGGGAGAGAGAAGGTAATGTTCCCAAGGTCACCTGCCTGGTTTTGTGTTCAAGGCAAAAGTAGAACTCACATTTTCCTGTGGGGGAAAAATGCACGCGCAACAAACTGCCGTGCTTTCCCCCCCAAACCTCATAACCTTTAGATACCCTTTGTCCCAGTGAAGCAGCCAGAAGGTCATCCCCTTTTGACTTAATGCCTCACCTACCTAAACAGATAATATGCTTAGTTCCTTCCTATCTTTTCCTGTCTTTGTTAGTTCTTTCTCCTTTGATCTGCCTGCATTTGTTCTTTACCTGGTCTTTGACCATGTAATGTGTTACTAGGAAATAGTTGCTTATATGAAGGAATTTTCCAATGAAGAAACTTTATGTCAGCATCTAATGGTTAAGCTGGTGTATGTAACAAGACTATAAAAAGCATTAAACTCAGAGTTTGTCAAGCTGTATCCTGCAGCTTCAAACCTCTGCTCAAGACATGCCTGTGTCTTTTTCTTAGTGTCTTATATTTTCCCACTTTCTAGCCTGGTGCCAGAAAGTGGGAGACTTTCTGGGTGTCCCCCACTACACCAAACTGACTTTCTGGTTTTCCCCAATACCTTCCCCCATGTTAGAAATCCTGAGTACTCGATTAGTTTACATACACCTGAATGCCACTCCTCCTCTCTTAGGCAGGTTCTGGTTTCTTCCTTGTCTTATTTTTCTGATATATCATTACCTCACTGTGCCCACCTCTCCTATGGCTGCTCGCCTCCACAATGACTGACTATAATTCAGGAGGTGGGATTGGCAGAAGGAAAACAACCCTCTGGACTCCTGACTCGGCCACTTCTCTCCTTCTGCCGCCTGTTTCTAATGTTTCTGATAAATCACACCCTATTGTGGGGCAAAAGTCAGGATAGAAATTTCCTAAAATAAAAGATATATTCTGTCAATCACCCTATGGGCAATTGGGTGAGAGAGACTTATTTTACAGTGCAATGAGCTGAGAATGTACAATTTAATAACAGTTCCCAGAAATTTTTTTGCTAACTTACAGCTCTTCACATAGAGATTTCAACTCAATACTGAAGCTGAGTGGAGGAACTTACCTTCGTGCACTTCATTTGATTCTCTTGCATTTTCTTAATGCTGACAAGGTTTCTAGTGATATCAACCTCCTGGTCCTCTAAGATAAGAGCCAAGAACACTCAATTAGGATTACTCCCACTATCGTCTTTTAAACTCTCTCTTCTAACTTCTGTGAAGCATCAGGCTCTGCTGCAAACATTTCCTTTAAGACCTTGCCTTCAGTGGACAATACTCACATCATTATTCACAGCTTCCTTAGCAGATAGAGGAGCAAAAGCAATAACAAGGGGCATATTTATCACCAAAAAGGAGAACAGAGGGGACTGTATCTGACACTTAACATATGTGGAGTCCTTGGTGTTCTCTGAGCATGGTTGTTTGCTTGCAGCTGTTTCAACTAGATAACATCATTGGTGTACTGATGCACTGATCATCAATACACTGGTGAGGTTAGCTAGTCAGATGATGAAATGCCTGAAAGTAAACAACCATGTTCAGAGAGAACCAAGGACTCTACAATTCAACCCGGAGCTACATATATTTTTTTCTACTGGAATTTAATATACGAACACTATAGAAAAACAAGAAGAAATTGTAAGGCAGTATGGATTGAGATAGTCTATGTCATTTCAACTCCAACATAGTTTCCTTCTTTGCCAAAGTACCTGAGAGGTCACCTTACCATTATCCAACCATTAGTAAGGTGATAGAAAGTATATTGCAATTACATTTATTTTGGCACAACAGTTGAATTATTGGATGACTCCACACATTGCTGTTTGTCAGTTGTAGGGAAATAGTCTTTTTTTAGATCTCATATAAGCAATCAAGGGTAAGATACCTATTAAATTAAAACGGAAAATACTGCAGCATGAGATTAAAATACTGTATAAGGAAAATCTTGCCAATTAATAAAAGCAATTCAGCCATAAAGCCAGCTGTCTTGGAAGACTATAGAATCTTCCTTCTCAAAGATAGAAAATACCCAGGGGATGTGTTGGTGTACAACCTTTTCAGCAAGAGGAAGAATAGCTGAGCTAAATGCTGTCAATAGCATGGATGCATATAGAACTTGCCCAGGCCTAGTCAAGTGGTAAAATACCGCCCCCCCTTCTCTGTGCCTCAATGAGAGTTAAATCAGGTGATCGAGATAAAATTTCAAGAGGCTAATCTTTTTTTTTTATTGAAAAGTTTTTAAATTTTACAAAACAAATCCCTTCCCCAGACCTCCCCACCCTCCCCCGACCTCCCATACCCTCCCCCAACCTTCCCAGAGTTGAGTACAGGCTTAATTAAAAATTTTCAAAAAAACCTTAAAACATATATAAATCCTAAGCAAATCTAAATACATTAAATTAAACAGATTATCTTCTCTAAAAAATAATAATTACAATCATTAAACACGTTATAATATACTCTAAACATTTTCTAATATCATACTTATATTATTATCCATCATTCTTTATAAACTCCCTCCAAAACACAAATTTAAACATTACTTTCTTTAAATGTCTATACCTACAATATAAAATCTAATCTCTCCCTCTTTCTTTATCCTAAAACAGAAAAATAAACATATAAACATTCATTATACCATTAAGACTAAATAGTCTTTTGAATACTTAAACTAAGTACTTAAACTTAATCTTCTTATCTAAAGTTTTCATTCAATCTCTCTCCTAACAAAAAAAAAAACTTGAAAAACATATAGTTCCTAAACAAATCTAAATACATTTAATTAAACGAGTTATCTTCTCTTAAAAATAATAATAATAATAATAAATAAAAATAAAAAAACTCAACCATTAAACACATTATAATATACTCTGAACTTTTTCATATCATACTTATATTATTATCCATCATTCTTTATAAACTCCCTCCAAAACACAAATTTAAACATTACTTAAAACATTGAAATTCCCTTATACATTCCTAAATCTTTACCAATAACAAATTCCATCCACAATAAACACATTCCTTATCAGTCTCTCTTATCCATAAACCTCAAAAGAAATACTTTGAAATCTGCCCTTAAAGGTAGCTCCAAAAAGTTTGTGAATCTTGCTTCTCCCACAAACTCAGTACTTTTGAATACTTAAACTAAGTGCTTAAACTTAAACTTCTTATCTAGAATTTTCATTCGATCTCCATAATCTTCTCTCCAATAACAATTCCATCCACAGTAAACACATTCCTTATCAGTTTCTCTTATCCATAAACCTCGAAAGAAGTGCTTTAAAATCTGCCCTTAAAGGTAGCTCCAAAAAGTTTGTAAATCCTGCTTCTCCCACAGCAGGAACCAATACTTGTGGGGCTTCCTTAATCTCCTTCTTCTGTTGCTCTTTTTCTTTACGTTTATATGTTGCACGAGTTGTCCTCTGCTCCTTCATCTCAACTTGTTGAGGCCCCTCGAACTGAGATTTCCCATTTTTCATTAATATAAGCTCTTCAGACTGCAATTCTACCCTTAAAGGTTGCTCCAAAAAGTTTATAACTCCTACTTCTCCCGCAGATTCAGAAACCAATACTTGTGAGGCTTCCTTGACCTTCTTCTGTTGCTCCTTTTCTTTACAGTTATATGTTGCACAAGTTGTCCTCTGCTCCTCCATCTCAACTTGTTGAGGCCTCTCAAATTGAGATTTCCCAATTTTCATAAGTATAAGCTCTTCCAACTGCAATTCTACATTCTTTTCTTCCAAAACTTTAAACGTAATAGATGGCGATGAATATACCCCCAGGACCGAAGTATAAAAGTCTTTTGCTTTAGAAACAGTATTAAGTCTATAACATATCCCCAGGTAACTCACCACCATTCCAGTTGGAACATCCCATCTGAACAAGATTCGTCTCTTTTTAAGTTCATCTGCTAAAAAAGCAAACTCCTTTCTTCTTCTTAAAATTTTAGATGGGATCTCCTTTAAAATTATAACATCTTGTGAAGCAATCTGAAACCTCTTCTTATAAAAAACTTGTATAATTTTGTTGCGCAGGGATCTTTTCCCAAAGTAAATTACCACATCTCTTGGCAAATTCTTCTGCTCTGCCACCACAGAGTTAACTCTAAATGTTTTTTCAATTTCACTAAGTATTTCCTCTTTTTCTCTATTCAAAATCACAGCCAAGTCCTTTGCAACCATCTCTCTCAAATCTCCTTGCACAGATTCTCTCAAGCCCCTGATTCTTAAAGCATATTCCATTTGTCTATATTGAAGCATAAGAATCTCATCTTGAAAATTTTCCATCTCTTTTTCCATGCTTTCAAATTTTCCCTCCATCAATTCCACTTTTTCTTCTACCTCTTCTACGCGAGAGTTCAACTTTTCAAGAACAGAGGCAACTCCTTTTAAACCCAAAACTATCTCTTGCCTCAAAATCTTATTATTTTCCTCTAAAATTTCTTTCATTTCTCCCCTAATTTGAGATATAACATTTCCCATCATATCTTGCAAATCCTTCACCATTGTTGACTGTACCAAGGAAGAGGGTGAAGCTATTGATTTAGATTGTTGCGCTGATGATAACACCGAGGAAGAAACCACCTTAGGAGCTGTAGGAATTACTGGACGCTTTGGAGCCATCTTGAAAAAAAAAATCTTTACTCCTTCTTAAAAATTACAAAAATTAAGCAAAAGAAAAAGAGAGATTAACTCCAGAAAATCAAAAAATCCTTCAAAAGGAGATCATTATAATAAAAAGAAAGGAGTTAAAAAAAGGAAAAGGGAAGAAGAAAAAAAAATGATTAAATAAAAAAAATCCATTCCATTTTTTAAAAGTACAAAAAACAAAACAGAGAAGTTAAGCAAAAAAAAAAATGCTTCTAAAATCCAAACCCAACATCAAAAAAACCATTATAAATAATCAGGTCCACATTCCATTCCAATCATTAAAAAAAAAAAGGAAAGGAAAAAAAAAACACCAAAAAGCCTGCCGATTGCCATTCTACCTTCCCAAAGGAAAAAAAAAACACCGAAAAGCCTGCCGATCGCCATTTTACTTTCCCTTTCAGCAAAAAATAAAAAATAAAAAGAGGGAATATAAACGTAAAAGTAAGTCTTTAAACTTAAAATCCAAATAAAATCAAAGAAAGCAAAAGCTAAATCCTCTAGTCAGCTCTGTCCGCTTCTAAGAAAAACTCACCAGATCTCTTTAATCGTGGAGGTGGTTGCAGCGGCTTGTTTTATCCCTAGGGACAAAAGCAGCTGGGAAGCGGAGACAGTCTGAACTCCGTGGGAGCACTCTTTTCACCCCCCAAAAAAAAGCCTTGGGGGTGCATAAGAGGCTCTACCATTATTCAGGCAACCCTCTTCCCCCCCCTTTGCCCGGGAGGGGGATTTTGAACCGCTGAACAGCTGATGTCCGCTGTTCATAGCGATTCAAACACTTACCCAGGAGGACGGCTACAAAGTAGCCGCCATCGCACGCGCAGATCCACCGGAAGTCAAGAGGCTAATCTTGACCTGACTTAAAAACTGATCAGGTTTGAATTTGCTTAATATTTAAATGGAAGGTTTCCAGGGAGGTTTAGAGCTCTAGGCTAGATTGGGCATCTGGAATCCTGACATCTTCAGGAGTTCTTCAATTTGAAGGAGACATTGCCCTTTTACAAGAAAGCTGATTTTGGCTCCAAATTGACTGGATGATGGTTAAGAGTCTATTGCAGAGAAAAATTCAGAAGATTTGGAGAGCCATGGCAATTCTGAATGTATGATAAATGGGAAAATACTAGTAGAGAAGAATCTCCTGCATTTTGGAAGTGAATATGAACAAAATATTGCAAGAAAATAACACTAGTAGCTACTTACTCAGTTTTTGATGGATGCGCCGCAGTTCACCCTGAACTGATTCCAACTCTTCCCAAAGGAATTTTTTGCTGCCAGGGGAAAAAGAAACAGGTCAGGAAGCTTTACAATGTAGCCCTGGAAATTCAAATCCTAAGATGATTTATTATTAAGCAAAAACATTAAAACCCACTATTATTGTCCTCTAGCCTTTGGAAATCTAAGCACCTACACCAGTCTATTACCCAAGACTTCTTCAGTCCCAAGAGCAGTAGAAAGAGAATTATAGTAAAGACTGCAGAGACCCAGCCTATCTAACCATTATTTTACCTGTCCAAAATCCACAAGACAGAGCTCATTTCTTTCTCTGCCTACTCAGCTCTTTCTCCTACCTCTCAAGGACATCTTGAGATAGATTCTCCATTGAACTTTGTTTCTGGACCATGGAACTCTGAAGCCCTTCTACCTCTTTGGTCATGGTTTTCCAAAGCTCTTGGATTTTTTTCTGTATTAGCTCATCAAACATCTCTCCACGGGATAAGTGGGCAGCAAATTTTACTTCCTCTAGAAGGATGGAAGATGATACGTTCTTCAGTAATGGAGAGACAGGGATGATATTCTGCATTCTTGATTTACCAGTCCTAATTCTGTGAAGATGCCCCTGTACAATTCTTGAAATGGCACTCAAAACAGACTTGAGATTCTAAGATATAGCACCCTTAAAATTCTTCCAGACTGAGCTACAGTGAAGAGGTTAGAAACTGTTTTCAATTTCTTCCAATTCTGCTTCTGCAAGCTGCTTAGGAATGGGGATTATATAACCTATCAGTCTTGTGTCTGCTACCTATGTTTTCATAACCAGAAGAGTCAGAAATTCATAAGAAACCAAGGTCTCTATGGATTAATGCTCCAGAATTCCTCTCTCTCTACAGGGAGCCCTTAAATCAGTGGTTCTCAACCTGTGGGTCGGGACCCCATTTGGGGTCGAACGACCATTTCAAGGGGGTCGCCAAACAACGCAGTCCGCCATTTTTCCCCCTTTTCCTTAGCTGTGCTACTCCCTTTTATTCTATTGGCTTTTGAAAGCCAATAGAATAGACTCTCTTGAATAGAGTCTAATTCTATTGGCTTTCAAAAGCCAATAGGAATTGTCCAGGCTGTCTCTGCCCTGCTGAGCCCGCCAAAAGTCCCATTCTGCAAACGGTGCTGCACCAGTTGAGTAGTCCTCGACTTACGACCGGTTGTGTAGTCCTCGACTTACGACCGGTTGGGGGGTCGCGGCATTAAAAAGGTTGAGAACCACTGCCTTAAATGGTTTCTTCTTTAAAGAAGGATATAACCTGATATGATGGGACTTGTAAGGCCACAAAACAAGCAGAGCGATTTTTCATATTTCTCACCTTCCAGTGCATTGATCCTACCCTGCTGGTAGTTGCTCTCTTGCTCTAACAAAGTAATTGAGTGGCTCAGTGCTTGAAAAGCCTGGAAAGAAAATTTGGCACAAATGAGGTTAATATTGATTGTGATACCAAGATGGCAAGATCTCCAGGTTTATGCCAGCTACATACCTCGGTCTGGGCATGGAGCTGAGCTCTGATAAGCTCCACATCATTTTTCAGTGCCAAATGAGACTCTGGGATTGAAAGAGACAATTATTCACATACTTTTGCCACACACAAATGTATAGCTTTGGATCTTTTTCCTTGATAAATAAATGAACAAGTGAAATGTTTAAGATAAGATAAGATAAGATAAGATAAGATAAGATAAGAAAACCTTTATTGTCATTTTTTTTTACTGTGGACACAATGACATACATCAAAAAATGAAATTTAGTTGCCCACTCTCAAAGTGAAACACATACTGTCCATTTTGAATATATAACGGAAGGAGGAAGATTGAGAGTTCACAAGGTTAATGCTGTATGGAATGAAACTATGGCTGAAGCTGGATGTTTTGCTATGAATACTACGAAGCCTTCTCCCAGAAGGTAACAGGTCATGAAGAGGATGTGTAATGTCTCAGATAATCTTACGGACCCTGTTCAAGCAGTGCTTCTGTGCTATGTCCTGGATGGGAGGTAGGGAACTGCCAATGATCTTTTCGGCCATCCTCACCACTCTCTGCACCGCCTTCCTGTCTGAAGCAGGGATGCTTCCAAACCAGACTGTGATGTCATATGACAGGATGCTCTTGATTGCCCCCCTGTAGAAAGTGGTAAGGATAGGAGAAGGAAAATGTGCCTTTCTCATGCAACGGAGAAAATGCAGGCGCTGCTGTGCCCGCTTCACCAGTGTCTCGCTGTTGAGCAACTAAGCCAGCCTACTCATTAACTGCATACCCAGGAATTTGATGCTGTTAATCATTCCCACAGGTGAATCATTAATGCAGAGAGTGTGGCTGCGCCTGCCTTTTCTGAAATCGACAATGATCTCTTTGGTTTTTCCGGTATTTAAAACTAGGCTGTTTTCCTTACACCAACCCCTCAACCTCCTTGCGGTAAGCATCCATCTTGTCATCATGAATAAGGCCCACTACTGTTGTATCATCTGCGAACTTCACAGTATGGATGGTGGCAAACCTAGCACAACAGTCATGGGACATCAGGGTGAACAGCAGCAGACTTAGGACGCAACCCTGAGGAGAACCTGTGCTCAAGACAATGGTATTAGAGGTATTTGTTCCAACTCGCACATATTGGGGCTTGTTGGTAGGAAAATCAAGAATCCAGTTGCACAAAGGAGTGTTTAAGCCTAAAAGGCCCAGTTTGTCTACTAGATGTTGGGGAATGGTTGTGTTAAACGCTGAACTGAAGTCGACAAACAACAAACGCACATGAGTATTTCTTTCCTCTAAGTGCTTCAAGCTCAGATGGAGAATGGATGAAATAGCATCTTCTGTAGAGCATTTGGTCAGTAGGCAAATTGAAGCGGGTCAAATGCTGGCAGGAGACTAGATATAATGATGTCCTTTATCAGCTTCTCAAAGCATTTCATAATGGTGGATGCCAGTGCAACCGGACAGTAATCATTGAGGCCTGTAATTGTTTCTGACTCATTTGTTTAATTGGGTTCTTTAGTGTGGAGAATAGATCACATTTTAGGTCATATTTATGCAAAAATACTGAAAATTGAAAAGGCTTCACAAAACCTAGTGAACTCTAGTTCTTTTATAAGCAAGCCTGTTATTAATAGCAAGCCTTAATTCTGAAACCTAAAAATACTGAGCTCTATCTCCACGTCTACTTGGAAAATTAATCCCAGATACTACTTGGAAATCTTTTGCTTCAGCAACAAAAGATTCTCTTTGTTATTATTGCTCAAGAATTCTGAGGAAGAACTCTGCCCTGCAAAACAAGAGACTGGGATCCACTTCAGCTCTAATGGGCAGTAAGCATTCCTTTCTAGGGAGTGTGGATTGGTAACTCCTAACAGAGGAGAAGGCTTTAAGAATTCAAGTGACAGTAGATCCAAAGAGAGCAGTGGAGAAATTGGGTATCTGAATATAGGGCTGGGCTGAATACCAAATAGAACAAAAAGGGGCATGATCAGAAGTGTTGTGGTTCCAACCCAGCCAACTCCACCTGGAAAACTTCCATCACTCAGAGTGTAAGAATAGGAATTAGAATAGAAAGATTAAAAAAAACCTATTTAAGTGAAACATAGCCAGAATGTCTTCACTGTAGAAATGATAATGGAAACTAAAAGGATGGTTTGTAAAGTAAAGAGGAGCGATACCAAAAGTAGACTTCCCAAACTGATGCCCTCTATATGGGTTGGATTGCTATTCCCATCATTGTTGCCTGCATGGACAGTGATTGGACTTCTAATCCAACACCCCTGAAGGACACTGGCTCAAAGAAGAGAGGAGGGGATTCAAGAAGAAGGCGTCACCTTAGACAGGAGTGAGAGAATATTCACAGAAATCTTGAAGAAGGACTGAACAGGTTCAGGGATTCCTAGAGAATACAAAAAGGTCCGTACAGTACTTTTGCTTTCAGGGACCAGAAAAATAAGAGGAGGAGAAGAAAGAATGAGAGAGGTAGGAAATGAGGGGGAGAGAAATTCACTTTCGGGAAAAAGTCCAAGCACAATATCTGGCTTTTTTTTCTGTTTACTTCATGACTACTCAAGGCAGACATGTTTGACCCTGACATGTTACCTCCCTTTCAATTATAATACAAATATTTTAAATAAATAAATAAATGGGTAGATTTAGCAAAAACTCAAAAAGGATCATGTTACCTACCTTGTGGCTCCAACCCAGCCAACTCCACCTGGAAAAGAAAATTCCCATCACTCAATTCCAAATAAAGCAACAGGCCCTCCACAGATGAGGACTTTTATGGCATAGACTGCTTTACTTTTCAACAAAACCCCTTCTCATAAAATGTAACAGGCTGTATTCCTTTACCCATACTTTTTTCATTCATGCCTATTTGGGAATATTACCTTGGTTTTTTTTTTATTACACTAATCAGTGTTCATTTTTATTGCACTAATTTTATTGCACTAATTCTTTGTTAGAATTTCAGAAATCAGAGGGTAAAAAATCAGGAGTCTGGCAACACCATTTTTGACTAACAAATTCTATTAAAAGATATAAACTTTCATGAGCTGCAGCTCAATTCTCAGCTGCACAGAGCACTACCAATATTTCCAATGTGTAGATTTCAGTTTCCAGAATTCCCCAGCCATCACAGTTCCCAACAAGGGCACCCATAAGATTAGAGTTGCCTTCTCATTCTCTTCTTCTAATATGCTATATGCCATCATCTGCTAGCAATGCCCATTTGGATTCTAGCAGGACAAAATTTGCATTTGCATTTTGACTGTATCATTAGCATACCTCTTAAGTTCATGCATGCTATAAAAGAACACACTTCTTTAGGGCTGTAATAAGAATAATCTGAGTTTAAATTTGTTTCAGATCAGAATCCGGGATATTTAAGCCTCCATCTCACCCCACTACGATCCACAAGATAAAAGATTCAAATCATTCTGATTTCAAGAGTATAAGTGAGGCTGTACACTCAGAGGCCTGGCTATAAGTATGTGTTGTTACTTGTCAGTTTGGCAGGCTTCATCTTGAAGGAGTCAGTGTTTACTCCTAATATCTCTTGAGCAAAACACTATTTCCTTGCTACATCCTTATAGTCCAACAAGATACCGGTACCTACTGCTGATGCAGGGCTGCTTGCCCGAGCTAAGCACCAGTTAGGAGAGTTGATGTGATTCTGTTCATCATTGGCAAGTGTCATTGTAGTTGACCTCTAAGACAGAGAAACAGAAACCATAATTTAGAAGCAGAAACAAATACATGAGAGCAGCCAACAACATGGTGCAGGAAACTGGGGCTTGAAAATGAAGTCCACCCTTCTTCCATATCCTTTATTTTGGAAGACCAGCACAAGGTGCTTGTTCTTGTCAAGGAAACAATATGATGATGCCTCAGATCAGAAGGAAAACTTGGCTAGGAATCTTGAGTTGAGGTTCTATGCTTGTTTCAGATATTTCTTTCAACTTAAAGTCTATTTCTGGTCATCATCTTTCCTACTCTTGGGCTTAGTAGTTTAGACTGCTTACAGCGTGGCTGTAAGGACCCACCCCACTTTGACCGTGACCGTCCAGACTACAGTATTCCCATTGCTTTCTGGCAATTCCACTATAAAATCCATGGCTATTTCTCTCCAGGGGGCTGAGGGACTTGCCACTGTTTGCAATAGTCCTGGCACTTTCCCTTGCAACCTCTTTGCCGTGGCACATTTTGGACAACTGGCTATATAACTTTCAATGTCCTTTTTCATGGATGGCCACCAAAATTGCCGTTTAATTAAATGTAAAGTTTTTACAAATCCAAAATGCCCTGCTGATTTTGTGTCATGGCAAAGGTGCATGAAAGTTACTCTTTGAGTTGTTGGTATATATAACTTTTCCCCTACCCAAGGCAACCCGTCTCTCATTGTGCACACATTTTTGTTTTTCTGGAACCATTCATCTGTTTCCAAACTTTTTCTGAATTCAATTCCAGTTTGGCTGTCCAGTTGTGGTTTTAATTTGGCTTGGGTTCTTGTGGTTACTGGTGCTGCCAGTTGTGACTCTGCCATTATTGGTCTAGAGTCTGTGGTTCGTGCGCTGTTATATTGGGGCATGCGAGATAGTGCATCTGCCAGGAAGTTCTTTCTTCCTGGTAAATGTTTGAGCTTAAATTGGAATTGGTGAAAATGCTGGGACCAGCGGGCCTGTTTGGGATTGAGTTTCCTGGAAGTTTTCAGGGCTTCTAAATTTTTGTGATCAGTCCACACCTGGAAGGGGATTTTGTTGCCTTCCAGGAACTGTCGCCACGTGAGTAATGCCCAACGTATCCCATAAGCCTCCTTCTCCCATACAGGCCAGCGCTGTTCTGTTTCCGTGAGTTTCTTGGATGTATATGCACAGGGTTGCAATACTGCATCATCATTTTCTTGTAATAGCACAGCCCCCACTGCCACATCACTTGCATCTGCCTGTATTATGAAGGGCTTGTCCATGTCTGGGTGCCTTAGTACTGGTTCGGCAGAAAAAAGTCTCTTTAGTCTCTCAAACGCTGCTTGGCACTCCATTGTCCATGTTAGTGGCTGGCTAGGTTTTACTGAGGATGTTCCCTTCGTTTTTAGTAAGTTAGTGAGGGGCAAGGCTATCTGGGCAAATGAGGGGATGAATTGGCGGTAAAAATTTGCAAAGCCCAGGAAACTTTGTAGTTGCTTTCTTGTGCGGGGTGGTGCCCAATCTAATACTGCTTTGACCTTCTCTGGGTCCATTTCAATGCCCTGTGGGGATATGCGATAGCCTAGGTAGTCTATCCTTTCCTGGTGGAATTCGCATTTTGAGAGTTTGGCATATAGGTGGGCGGCTCGCAGCTTCTTTAAAATCGCCCTGACAAGGTTGAGGTGTTCCTCTTTTGTTTCAGTAAAGATAAGAATGTCGTCCAAGTACACAAGGACCCCCTTAAACAGGTGCTCCCTTAGAACGTCATTGATTAATTGCATAAAGACTGCAGGGCCCCCTTGTAATCCAAATGGCAAGACTTTGAATTGATAGCACCCCATGGGGCAGTTAAATGCAGTCTTCCATTCGTCCCCTTCCTTAATTCTCACGCGATAGTAAGCTTCCCTTAGGTCTAGTTTAGAAAAAAATTTCCCTTTCGATAGGTGTGACAGCATGTCTTTCATGAGGGGCAGAGGGTATAGGTTGCTTTCACTGATTGTATTCAGGGCCCTATAATCCACGCATAAACGTAAGGAGCCATCCTCTTCTAAAAAGGACCGGGGCAGCCACTTTAGGCTTGGCTGGCTCAATGAAACCTCTCTCTAGGTTTTTTTTTATAAATCTTTCCATTTCCTCCTTCTCCTTTGGGCTCATGGAGTATAATCTGGGCTTCGGGAGTTTTGCCCCAGGCTTGAATTCAATGGTACAGTCTGTGGGTCGGTGGGGGGGAAGCTCATTCGCCCTCTCCTCACTGAAGACTTCAGCAAGGTCCTATATTCCTCTGGTATTTCTGTTAATCTTTTTTCCTCTCCTATGGATGCTTTTTCTATTCTTGATTCTGGTAGCCTCCCTTGGGGTTTTAAGTCCATAGGGTCCCCCTTCGGGAATTTGATTTCTGTCGTCCTCCAATTTACCCAGGGGTTCCATTTTTTCAACCATTCCATCCCTAGAATCATTGGGCATTCCATACCTGGGGTCACCACAAACGTTATGTCCTCTTCATGTTTGCCCAGGGAGAGGTGTATTGGTAGAGTGGCTAGGGTAGCTGGCACCCCCCCTGCTATGGATCCATCTAACTGGCCAAATGAGATTGGTTGTTCCAGTCTCCTGGATGGGATGCCCAGATTCCCCACTAGTGTTGGGCTAATGAGGCAGCGGGTGCAGCCAGAGTCTATTAAGGCTTTCACCTTCACAGCTTCGGGCATGGGGGGGATTAATATAGTCACTGTTTTGAAGATGGGTGTCTAAAGTCCTGTCTAATGTAAGGACCCACCCCACTTTGCATCTTAAGAAGACAGAACTCTTGGAATAATTCTTCCAACAGGAATCCTTTATTAAGAAGAAGTGGTTGCAGGCATGCTAGACAGGACTTGGGGTCCAAGCCCTCCCATTCAAGGTTTTAAGGGGTTCCCCAGTAGTCCCACCCAATCAACCCCCCTTCCAGTGATAGTTTCAGGTATCACAATTCCACCCCCTTTTTTCTTTCTTCCGTCTGGATGGAGACTTCAGATAACTACATGAAAGGCAAATACCCTTCTTTGTTATGGTAAGGTTCTTTGGTGCTAACGCTTTGAGGTTACAATAAACACACATTCAGCATTCAGCTCCTTGAAGTATACTGAAGGAAGTGAGGGCCATAAAGCCCCTTTGTTCTCCCCCTTCTCTCCCTCTTATGGCAGAAGTCAGAGAAGGCAGAATTGGGAGTTTCTATATTTGATAATTAAAGATGAAATATAATTGGATTCTGACATTGGCTCTCTTACTAGATTCAGCTCCAATTTTGTACTTGCAGCAGCTGTGCTGCATTGCTTTTAGAGGATGATCTCTGAGATTAATGGAAGCAGGGGAGATGATCAGTCCTTCCTCTCACCAAGAAGTGTGGGACATTATCCACCTATTCTGCATACATAATGATAACCAAAGCAAATCATGAACTCATCTGTTTCCTAAAGTTGAGAAGTAATTTTCCAAGAGTGTTTGGTTTTTAAATTACTTGTGGAGATTCTGCTCTCAATGAGCCTGGGACAACTTTATCCTATATTATATAGAGAGAGAATCTAAAACTTAGAAACACAAGTAGTACAACTCTGATGGCTACAGGAATATTTAACTTGTTTCCCACCACATAATTCTTGTACCCAATTAGTAGCTTTCATTGTGTATAATTTCAAAAGTGACATGTTGTCTTTCTTGGCAAAAAGCATTACAAGAAAAAAAAAGGTTATTTAAAATATCCCTTTCCGAATCACTTCCCAATTATGGCAGAAACAATCAGGCTATACTATAAAAGCCTATCCCTCCCCATTAGTCCCTGTAGATTTGGTCTGAATGAATTAGGATCTTCAATTATGGACATGATATGAAAATATATTTAACCCATAACTCCTGTTTATTAGCTTGCTATATTTCACATACATTCTGCTGTTCAGAATTTTACTCAGCACTTAGAGGAATAGTTATGTAATTGTAGAGCACAATAATTTAATTTCACTTTTAAAAACTATTTTTAAATAATTGTTGAATTTATTGAACTTAAACATGTATTATTCAGTTACATTTTCCTTTTAATTTTCTCTATGTTTAACCACTCTTGGAAAGGTATACAGAATTAGATGGACCCTCTGAGTCTAAGATTACACACACATACACACACAAACACACACATATACACACACACAAACACACACAAACACACACACACACACGTCTGCTGCTGTGGGAGCCGCGGGGCCCGCTTGACAAAGCAGGGCTGCGTGGGAAAGGCGGCGGCGGAGGTGGTCCTGGCGGGGCAGCAATGGGCGCTGGGTGCGAAGGTGGCGCGCATAGGGTGCGGCGGGTGGCTGACCTTCCTTGGGCCGGGCCAGCTGGTGGCCTAGCCAGTGCTGGACCTGCACCGCTGCTGCCTCACCCTGTGTGCCTACATGGCCGCCCTGGAGTGCCTGGCCCACGACGCTTGCCACCGCCATGGCCTGCCCACAGCCCGCGCCCTCCTGCCACCCTGCACTGGCATCTGGCTCAGCAACCGCGAGCTCTGCGCCATCAGTGTGGTGTGAGGCTGGTGCTGTGGGAGCTGCAGGGCCCGCTCTATATGGCAGGGCTGCGCGGGGTAGGCGGCGGGGAGGCTGCAGGCAGGGTATGGGGCGGCTGCATCAGCCGCTCCGGCTCTGGGGGGACAGCCCACCACCGATGCCCCCCGTGCCTCTGACTGCAGCAGACAAAAAAGCCCCCAAAGTCGACCGGGGAGAGGCAAAACGATTGGGAAGCAGCCTGGAAAAGCCGAACACACTGCTTTCTCTGAGAGCGGCTGTTTCTCAGGCCTCCCCCAGTACGGAGTTCCTGCCTAACTCCGGCTGCAAACAAGAAAGGTCTTCGTCAGGTTGGTCCCTTGTATTTATCCTGCACCCTCAAGGAGATGGCTGAATGGATTGGCGACTTGGGCTTTCCTCAGTACAAGTTAAGATCAGGTTTCCTTGCAAGCAGAAGGGGAGGACATTCTATATAAGTTCATACATCATATTATTAGACC